ACGTGTTGTCTATAAGAGTATACTTCTTTTATCTTACTAAGTATTACCTTCTTATAGCTTATTCTTTATATACTAAAATTAATTCTACCTTAAACTCTTCTTGCCTTTTTATAACGTCTAGGCTAGGTAGCTCTAGTGTTACGCTAGCTCTATAGTAGTACAGCTCTAGTAAGAACATATAAAATATAAGGTAGATTTTAAATACTAAGGGTAACTTAAGCTTATAGGCTAACTTATTTAACGTAATACAAGTGACTTTAAAAGGGCTAAGGTAGTAATCTAATAGCTTCTTGTTAGGCCTAGTAACTTAGAGGTGTTTAGTTAAGAGTATTACTTTATTACTTACTTAAAAGGACATAGGTTTACGTTTCTTATTATAGAATCTCTTTTACGCTTTAATAGCGTTATACTAGTATTTATCTAGCGCTACCCTCTCTTTCTTAATCTACTTTACCCTCTTATATACTACTACTACTTTCCTTTCTATAATGTCGTCCTTAACATTAACCTAGATCTCTAGTAAGAATCTATATAATACATAGAACAGGGTTACCTTTATTAAGAAGTACACGCTATTATTATATATAAATTTAGCTAGGGTAAGCTTTAATACCTAGTCGTCTTGCCTATATATTATGTATACTTAAAGGTAATATTTAATAGTCTAGTTCTATACCTTAGTCTAACTATTACTCTATAAGTAAAAGGTAGTACTAAGCTAGTACCTTACCTTTAGGTAAGAATATAAAGAGGCCTAAAACTTACTTATAAACTAAAGGCTCTTATCTAATACGATCCTTTCTAAAGTCTTAAAATCTTTAACTATATAGTATATAAAGAGTTTTACTAGCTATAAGGCTATAATTATCTTATAGTATAAGATGTAGCGTACTACCTTTATATACCTATTAATAACTATAAGACATAAGTTAAACACCTTTCTATTAAACTTACTTAAGGGCAGGCCTATAATAAAATCTATTAAAATCTACGCCTAAGGCCTTATTAGCCGTTCTAGTAGTACTAACCTACTATATAGCCGGTACCTCTTAGGTTTAGTCCTCTAGTAGACTACACAAGTCTTAACCTATTCCTTAACATTATAGCGTATACCTTACTAGAAGTATTTGTACTAGAGAAGCTCTAGTGTCTTAGTAGCGCTAAAGTACCTTACTATTAGGTCATTATAGTTAATTATAAGGATCTTACTCCTTAAGGCTTTACTTTTTAAGATATAGACCTAGCTATCGTACTAAAGTAGACCTATTAAGTTAACGTACTACCTTAAGTAGTTATCTTTCTTATCCTTAAGTTCTTTACTTATATTATCTCTTATAACATTACCTTAAATTTAGGCGTCTAGGCTCTGTCGCCCTTCTTTTGTCTTATTACTAGGGCCTTATAGGCTCCTTATAGTAGTCTTACTACTACTAAGGCCTTGTCGCCTCTTTAAGGTAGTCTTACTATTACTAAGGCCTTGTCGCCCTCTTATAGTACTAGCGTATACCTTACGTATTAGTATTAATTCTTATCTTTTTCCCTAAATAAAAGCGTCTTTTTATTAGGTATTCTAGATTAAGTTAGTTATTAATTCTAATAGTACGTTATATACTGTTTTAAGGCCTACTACTAACCTAGTAGACTCTTATAAGACAAGGTATCTATAGTTACTAGTCTTAGTAATAGAGTTAAGCTAGGTCTTAGCTACGTTACACGTACTTAACGGCCTTATAGTGTCTTGTCTAGTCTATAGCTACTAATACTTAGGTTAGCCTAAGACATCTTGTCTTACTTAAAGGTCTCTACCTCTTAAGAGTTCTAGAGATCCTACTCTTATAGCTAAGATCTGTCGCCCTTTTATTATAGTACTAGTAACTCTTATTAAGAGTACGCCTCTTAGCTTCTCTCTTAAGGCTAAGAGTAAGTCTTACCTAATCTTATTAGTACTAGACTTATAGTCTAGGCGCCTTAACAAGCTATTAGTAAGGTTACTCTTACTTAGCTAGTACTTAATACTAAAATTAAACTTAGCTAGCTTTTAGACCTAACGTACTTATCTCTTATTTAGCTTCTCTTTTTTTATAAACTGTTTTAAGTTATTATAGTCTGTCTTAACTATTACTAGTATAGAGGTATAGCTAAGGTAGTGTCTTTAGTACTTAAACGTTATAATAATTACTAGTATCTCTTAGTTATAGGTTAGGTAGACTTGTTATACTAGGTTTAGCTTCTTTAAGTAAAAGATAATAAGGTACTACTACTTTATGTCCCTTTAGCTAACAAGTTATAATAAAACCCTAGCTATAGTAAACTAGGATACATTAGTCTTAACAAGTATAGGTAACCCTAGTATAAAGTAAGTAAGTATTAGAGTAGTCGTAAAT